CGCCGCTGACAAATCATTAACATATAAAACAGCCATCATGGACTGTATTTATGATATTTAGAGCTAAAAGTTGAGGAAAATGTCTTCAAAACGAGAAAAACTGATAATACAGTGTAAGGAAAAATGGAGGACAACCTACGGATACGCTGAAATGTGACTGGAAAGGGGCTTTATGGACACTCTGTAGACTACTTGCCCTTAGTGTAGTACACGCTGGGTCTCTGATGTTACTCGTACGTTGGGTTTACCAGTGTTACGTAATGATTACTCATCACGTATTATCAGAGACCGCCTACGTGAAGCTGCCTCTCGCCACCTGTCGGAATACTATCTTTTATTAGGCCATGAACGCATCCTTCCATATCCCGTCCAATTCATTTGACTTTTAGGATCATGACTCGTGGGCAAACGACCCACAGAAACCTTCACCTCAAGACAGCGTCGATAAAAACGTGAGAACTCAAATAAATTACAAAGAAGAAAAGATAACAGGTATTTTGTCAGAGACGTCCAAAAAATCCAAATTCACCAACGAATAATTAAGAATGTGTAATGGCTGACATTCATAAGAATTTTAACCTTGGCTTCTCTAAAAACAATTAACGCAAGGATAACTTGCCTAACGAAGGCAGTTACGATAGGAGTGCTGCAACAGACGTTACGTGGCCTCCAGAAGGCCAGTCTTAGCCCATTTTCGTCTTAATTCTATACTTGCAGTACAAATGGTACGACGTGCCGCAAATGACTTCAAGAAACACTCTGGCCCCTACACGGCTCTACAACACAGAATAGCCATACCCAAAGTCTTGTATATTTTTAATATTAGCTGGAAATCCAGGAGACTTGACTAAACTCTACACAACTCTAAGAGAAACGTCGAAGTTTAGTTGACGAACGCTGAGAGGTGCAAACACGTCGTGCTAACAGCGGACAGTTTACCTTTTGCTTCTTTCGGCAGAGACGTGACTATGCCAAGGATACGTTCAGGAACTCGATTCACCAGCACTTAACAAGTTCACCAGCCGTCACGTATCCAAGTGGTGATTCGAGACTCCAAAATTACTCCAGTGGGTTTACACCCAAGACGCCTATCACGAGCTCGGCAACTTTCTGACACTTCGGCTTCTCGGCCAGGACGCTGCTACAGGAAGTTACACTTCACTGAATATAACTAGACTTATCAAATCAAGGGCAACAAGATAAGCGGGACACGTAGCACGCATAAGGTCAGAAATGCTCACAAAATATTAGCCTGAAAACGTGAAGGATGAGTCCACTTAGAAAAAACAGTCGTATAGTGGTGGATAATACTAAAATGAATCTTGTAGAAAGTGGAGTGACTGACAAACCCCACGAAGAAAAAACGCAAGAGTAGCCTGTCCCCCGGTCGAGTTCTGACATCCCGACACGATGTCCTGTTGAGACGGATAAATTTAAAAAACAAAATTGTGCGAGGGGTAAAGACAGAAAGGAAACCATTCCTCGTTGAATTTCAACAGGATTCTTACACCAGTTCTGACACAAAGAGCTTAGCAATGCGTCACAACCTTCATCGTGCTTTAACGCGAAACCATCGCGTCATCGAACCAAGGTTCTCGAGTTCAGCGTGGCCATAATTCATATCAGAGCTCACCACACGCCACCTTTCACAAGCAGACGCCTCCACCCCCTCTCCCCTGCAATCATCCTTATTATAAGCCTAACAGAAGTGACTGCAAGAGTGGCGTAAGGTTCGTCCCCCGGTCGTTTTGTGGCTTGCAACGTGGGATCGAGAAATCTCTTGTCCTGACAGCGATTTATTCCCCCAATGCCTCTTGCCTCCTCTCCCCCAAGACAAAAGTACCTTTAGAATACAGCACAGTCGCCTGCTCAAATGTCTATTCATAAGTATGCTCCTATTATACGCTGTTTCAGTTGATAAAAAGTCATTAAATATATCGATAAAAATGCCACATTCGTGTTGCAAAATCTGCTCTTCTCATAGTGGTAACGTTTCAATGTTGTTATATGTTTATTTTTTCAGAAGCTCAGACTATACAGCGTCAAATGAGTGGATGACAGTGAGTAATGAATTGGTAAGGATGTGGAAGGAAGCAGTCGTGGCGTGATTCAAGGTACGATTCCGGCATTTGCCTGGGCTGACGAAAACCACAAAATAGCCAGTCTCCGGGACGACATTTCAACCCGGGACCTCCCGTGTACGAAGCAAGGGTGTTAACCAATCGTTCTGGGTTGTGGCGCCACGAGAAACTTTATGTAAGGCACCGACGTTCGGCGTAATTCTCCGTGTGGATTTTTTGATTGAAGAATGCGATAGTTTGGAACGCGAGGTCCACACTGAGAGACGTGACAGGTGGCAAGGTCTCGAAAGCCTCGCGAGCAATGTGTGTCAGTCTCTCCTGTAACACCGGACCCTCAAGGTTCGCTGCTACGAGCGACAAATGACTTCGTTCACACCCACACGAAAGCGAAACTTTCTCATTACGATATCACATTAACAGCCGCTGTTTACTGCACCAGCAGAAACAGACCTTGTCCTCAGCGAACCCTAAAGTTTCTAGGGTCATTTCTTTGCTCGAACTGCGTACATTTATCGTCTGATCGGCACCCCAAATCTTTACGTAATTTCTCATCTCTGAAAATAATCCCACCGAACGTATTTAGTTTCCACTTGGTATTTAAAGTTTTACCAACATTTGTTGGGTAATTTTAATCTCCACGGCTGTGTTCCCTCCATTCTGACACATACGCAGTGTTCATGTTAAGGGTATAAAGCAGTAATTCAAAATACAATCCCACAACAAGCGTCCCGATGACGTACCTTGTGACGGCGAAACACGATGCCATATTTTGAACATATGAGCCTAGGAATCGACGCTGACAAACCGACGCCGAAAGTGGCGACGCCTACGTCGTGACTCCGACTGATAAGCGATATGGCACATGCTGGCAGACCGACGCCCCGCGTCGAGAACCCAAGCGTCACCGCGACGCAGCAAAAAGACGCTGAATTTAGCTTAGATGATTCTCGTGATGATATCTGACACAAATTCGGAAACAGACGCTGATATTCGTGAGGCCTATCGTCACGACGCCGACTACAAAACGCAAAAGAAGCCAATACAAGCCTCCGGACGCCATGTGCAAAAGGTTGTTCCATACAGACGTCGAGCGTCGGGAAAGAATAGTAGCGACGCCCTCAATTGACGCCATATTTAGCGAAGATCAGCATCGATATTTCATTGAACACTACGTCATAAAACCGTCGCCGAGCGTCGCGACGCCACCAAAGACACCATATTTACCACACGTGATAAAGAGGATAAACAAATTTTTGTCTTTGTTTGGTAGGACACACAATTGTCAATTCAGAATTGCTACCCGGTACTTGACAGATGCACACGTGATCAGCGTAACGGATTAAATTGACGCAAGTAAGTTGGTAAATAGTAGTAAGATCCTAGTTTGTAACCAGTATTAGTCGCAACGACTAAAAATTTGTTTTTTGGAAGTATGCCAAGATATTCGTGTTGTCCATCAAAAATAATGAATGTTATTACATTAACAATGGGACAATTACTTTCGTCTAAAAATGTCCAATTGTTTACAGACAAAATAATTTCGAGTAGTTTCCAAGCGATTTACTTTTATTAAATTGGCAACGTTTTCATGATCTACGCAGACAAATGAATAACAAACAAACGAAAGCCACAGTACACAAAGATTGTGAGGAAAAAGAATATAAAAATATTTATTTTTGTCATTCTAGATTTTCAGACAGTCCCGTATAAATATTACGTTCTCTCTACGCTATTTCAGTTTCTACCTTAAGTCAGTAATGACACTCAGGTCCACCAACCATCACGGTATACCACTAACTCTTGGTGCCCATCTCGTATTGCTTCATCCTAGGGCGTACACAGAAAAAATATCTTAATACATCAAAATTTATTCACGAGTGAATACAATTTTACTCTGCAAGTTTTCATGTTGTCATGGAGACGTGTAAGAAGATTTCTGTCTTCTGGGTTGTTGCGCTGTGTAGTCTGGCCGACGTTTTAGAGGAGCTCACGACGACGGAGGGACGTTTCAAACGTCGGTCAATATACACCGCACTACATGATGCAACATCCCAGAAGGCAGCCACGTTCATATTTTCATTTGTCTGCACGTTTCGACTCCAGCGTGTCATCATCATGCCGCACATACTTCCTTCGATTGACATACATAACACGTGCAATTAAAATATATATAAAAAAAGTAAATATTTGAGGGTTAATTAATCACTATTTGGGAAGCGGTGGAGTAGATTAATTCTGACTTGTCGTGGTCGATTTAAAAACGTTCATCGACTCTGGACGCATATGGAGACGGGGGCAATTGTAATACACACGATTTCCACACACAGAATAACAATAGACGTTTAATAATGTCAAGGTTTTGGAAGTGGGTGGCTGGAAACATACGAAAAAGCTTTGAGGTCGTGCCACTGAGCTACGTTCCTCAATTGACAGGTAAGTAAGTACCTGTTATAAGTTGCAGGCATTCAGACCAGTCGATGGCAATGAATATGCAACAGCATCGTCAAGGTTCCTTTGCTATTATGCTATTATCTTAGTCTGTGCATCTATATTAAGTGCGTAAGTGGGCAGAGAGACATCAGAAAATGACCTCTAGCAACTTTTATTCGAATCATCTTCCGCTGTTCGCTGACCAAGCAGGATAAGATCAGATGCAATTAAACTAAGCTCTTGTGCCAGCTATTAGATTTATGGTCATTTTAATTTCAATGAACAAAAGGTTTCTTGAGAATGCGATAGTCGCTTAGCTGGTCACGAAATTTCCAGCTCTTAATGGAAGCCAAAAGGATATTTCTTTGTTCACGAAATCTAACCATCTACTTTGTACTGAGCGAAATGTATCCGATTCACATTCTGTCTTTTATAAATCTATTTTAAAACTACCCTTTCTTTTATGTCTATATCTGGCAAGTGACTTACGTTTTGGTTTTCCGACGAAAATGTTGTGTGCATTTTGTCATCGTAATAATATCTGGAGGAAATAACAAGGCACGGACCTCCTCATTACGTATTATTATCCATCCTCCTGTCTCTCCAAATAGTTCCAAATCTTGTCTTCAGCAAACACAAAGTTACACACAAAGATGACCGTCCAAATCATCAGACAGCAGTGACCTCTGAAACGTCGGTAAACTTCTATCAGACTACACAACGCTACAACCCAGAAGACGGCCGTCTTCAGACTCAACGCCCTGTTCATTTCCCATATTTTAGACTCAAAAGCGATAAAATTGTTTCCCTTCCAAAAGTTGGCACAACCGACTTGTTGATGCTGTAGACGCAGATCAAGATATCATCAGTACGAGATGACCTCCAGTGTCAAATTGTTCACACCGAATTTTTACGAAAATTAACACCAAAACACGTGTAGTCAATAAGGTTCCAAAGAAGGACATGGATTTCGCGATCGCGGGTCATTAGGTAGGCGTCGTCGCTTGTTATTCTCAACCTTATGCGTTTATACGCGATGTCGTAACCTAACCTAAACTTGGGACTTCAAATTGCACGTGATGACTTCTGCTTAACTGGGTCTGGGGCTTTTGCAACTCACGAATCACATCGTTTCGCCTCAGCGATGCTTTATTCAGTACCGACCCCAAATCACAGTGCAAAAGGCTAATTTGTAAGATTAAATTCACGGACGGTGAACGTTGACAGCGGAGTCACGACACGTAACAGTTCACACAATTCACTGTAACATTAATAGGCCACGAAATTCACGTTCTCTTGTTACGTTTTTTCGAATGGATTTCCGAGCCTCGTAAGAAAACAGTATGTCTTTTGTTTTAGGTTTATGCACTGCACAGTTCAAATCACTATCCAGTCCAAAATAATATGGTTTCCTTTTTATTTCACAACAATTATAATCCTACTAGAGCAAAACGCTCCTTTCGGAGCTCCTTTCTTCTATCAAGGTCATTCGGCAAAAAGAGTGTAAGATCAATATCAACAAATCGACAACAATGGTTACCTATGAAACGTCATCTGTTTACTCGGTATACAATGAAAGGAAGGGGGTTATAACATTTGACCAACCCCCCCCCCCCCCTTTGTTGCGTTTTAAAATCTTGAGTAAGACACTAAACTTCGGGGGGTTAGTTTAGTGTTATTTATACCAACACAACAATGCCGAGTAAACAAATAACGTAACATTGTTTGATGACGTCATTTTATGACGACGACAAATCACAAATTTTTATAGTAGAGAAAAGATCCATTCTGTCGTGACAAATTTCGTATGCTACTGGTACAGAACATAAGAAGACTGTATTGTTGCGTATGGGCATGTAGAAGACAGTAAATATGGCGGCAATGCGCAGTTAATCCTAAGACTGTCCATCGCTACCACCAAAGTCACAATCTTAAACCATTTCAATGCCACCCGAATAATTAAAGCCCTTTGCCATAACAGTCATTTTAACATCAGTTTTCCATTTGCTTTCCTGGCTTCCCAGTGGCCGCTTTCGAGTGGTCTTCCCCCCCTCTCTCTATTCCCACGAGAAACCAGTAGCATTCCATAAATCCACCCGGGACACATTCCATCCCATCGGAGCGTCCTTGATTTCACATTCAAGCTTCGTGGAGTTTACGAACTTTCTAATTAGCCACGAAAAAACCACGCGTCCTGTTTAAAATAATGTCCGTTAAAGTTAAATAAATTCTTTAGCTCGTTATCTTTCAACAATGTGCTTCCTTTAACTCCCTGTATTTGAATTGTCTCTACTCACGCCGCTGACTGTAAGCAACAATTGGACTCTTTCACGAGTAGCTACAGGCTTTTTTGACGTAAATACGTCTATAAGGAAGGGTCATTCGGCAAAAAAGTGTTACGTAAAAGGGAAACGAAAAAGTGTAACTGCATTGTTATGTTACCTAGGAAACGTCATCTGTTTACTCGGCATTATTGTTACCTATAAAACATTACCTTACCTTACCTTACCTTACCTTACCTTACCTTACCTTACCTTACCTTACCTTACCTTACCTTACCTTACCTTACCTTACCTTACCCTTACCTTACCTTACCTTACCTTACCTTACCTTACCTTACCTTACCTTACCTTACCTTACCTTACATTACATTTCATTACATTACATTCAGCTACCACAGACCCATCTTAAGCGTAACTAATTCAAGTTGAATAAGCAAAGTCTTATTCAAACTTTACTCAACTGTAAAGCGGGTATAAAGGAAATATTTAGAATAAAGCTGATATATAAACTTCCTTTCCGTGTAGACATATTTACGTCTAATTCTCCGAAACCGTGGTTCCACTATCAATTTTTTTCCTCGGAGAACTTAAATTTGAAATTACGTTCAGAATATCTGTATTTTGAGTGACGCTTTCTCGGGAGTTAACTGCATTTTCTTAAAAGCAATTGTAAGGCATTAATCAGTTGTCTTTTGAAAAGCAGACGACAGTGAAGTTGCCGTTCAAATTAACTGGTAGGATTTGGTTCTGACACCCCGAGAACATTGTTTTGACTGTCACGTGGTGTCATTTCAAGGCCAGGAAAAGGTAATATTGTTATGATACACGGAAGACACGTTTCCCCAGATGATGCTTCTCCTTCCTTACACGAACGAAAACAAAAGTCTGGTTACATGTGGAGCGTGACCCTACGTAAGTCCGCATGCATCACTGACTTGGTTTTTAGTCTTCACGGTGAGATAAAGACAAGAATTCAAAGAACTTTCTTTTTCCTGTAACTTCCACAGAGGGAAGTGCTGTCATGTTCACAGGACACTTCGCGTTTCGCGAAATAACAGTCAGCTGACATTATACTTCCGATTTGTACGCAAAAAGCGTTTCTTTTTAAACAACCCAACTCTTAAATCCGCTAAATTAAAAATCCACTATCTGACAATTCCGATGAGTTCACATCCTCAAAATCCATTTCCTTTACTGTCTTCCAAATTGCTATTTTCCACCATAATTCCACAGCGCACTACCCTCAAATACGATCCGATACTCAACTTGACATCCAAATGAGGCCGCTAGACGCTGGCTTCTGCCTTGGAGACCCATGTTCAATTTCGTGTGACTTAAAATGAGTAATCGTGACGGACGAACTGACAGGTTTTTCTCCAGGTTTCTAGGTTTTCCTCCGACAGCCATCATTCTATCTCCGCCCCACAGGGTATGCGATACCCCCCTGACCAAGCAAGAGGTTATCATACCCTCGTTTCTTAGTTAGTGGCTTCATACAACGTATGAGAACCCGCTGAGTTCTTTCTAGAAATGAATTTAAAAACAGATGATTCTACGATGTTAAGGTGAAATTTACAGAAAACAGAGCGAGACCAACTACGTCTAAGTAGTGGTACGGTCAAAACATGCAATGGAGCGGTAAGGAATCAATCATCATAAGCTTCATGGATCCGCCTTCGACATCTCCGATCTCCAAATCTAAATCCAAATCTCCGAATCTCATCCTTAAGAACTGGGGTCCGGTCTGTGAGATCACGACATTTTATTAAATTAAAAGAGAAAAACATCGAAAAAAAAAAGCAAAGAAGAATTTCGAAACCTGAACAGACAGTAGAACTACCACATTAAAACGAAAAAACAGTACTTTAACCCTGAAGAAGGAGGCAGTAAACTCCGTCGAAACGTTCTTATCCAACTACAAGTCGAGGATGAATTAAAACCGACAGACCAACATTGACATCTTCAGAGCCGTGAAAATATCAAATCTGATACACGAAAAATGTAGATCAATATATTACGAACAAATAAGTGCAGTAAGCTTTAAGCATTGGCAATGCCAACGAAACTCTTGCAAACGACAATTCATAATAGGTCTAAGACTTTTTCTTGCGCGTGCCCATATATTACCGTTATGATGAAATCAATTCGCTTTATACTTTGTTGTAACATTTTATAAGAACATCAATCAGCTGTTAACTCCGAAATCAGACACTGCAGAAAGTAGTTCTCTTTATGCATGAAACAGGCTAAATTAATCTTAATATTGCACACATAAACTAAAATGCTACGTAATGTTTCTTGATGTCTGTTTACATTAATAATCTCTCTCGCTGTGGGATCTAAAAGTGATGTCGTCATGAAGCTTCTTTCTTACTAGCAAAGGCCACAAGTGAGCAAAAGAATGATTCTGCTGTGACGAAACAATATTTCACTTCTGTCCGCTTGGCAGCCAGAAGAAGTGTGATAAGTGATTCAACATTTTGAGGCTGTGCCGTGCATCTGTGGCGGCGACTGAAAAAGTCAGCTGGAAATGCTAACGATTTTCTGTGTCTGGACCCATTGTACATTGGCCCAATCTTATATGCATCATGCCGTGTTAGCCATTAATTATTCTTCAAGTTAACACATCACGTCGAAACATATTATGACGTCACCACGGTTTTATGCCCAATATTCTTCAAGTAATAACCAAACAAGGATTTGAGGTTCTCACAGGTGTGAGTTTACCGACGTTTCAGAGGTCCTTGTAGCCTCCAACATCATGACGATTACTCGTCGCCCTGATGATGGAGGCAGCAAGGACCTCCGAAACCGTGAGTCTTTACCTGTTCTATAATTAAAAAAAATCTTGCCTTTCAACATTCTTTCCTGTCGCCATGTCTCCTTGCTAGCTGTTAGAAGACTGTATAGTGGATATAATGCACACAGAAATTTGAGATTCTCACTGTGGTCAATGTTTCGATGACTTGAAGGTTATTTATCTAAAAAGGGAAATCGAATGGACCTGAAACGTGGCAGGGTGCCTAATATTTATAACACGTTCCTAATAACAGCGTGATCTACGTTAAGAGTAGATCACACCCTGGTGTAATGCCGCCAGTAAAACAGGCCCAGGTTACTGGCGCCATGTTGCTTGACGTACGAATATGGCTGCTATTGGTCGTGAGTCCAGTTCAGCCACTGGCCAAACAAGTCATCACTGAATCCGTTGCTTTGCAGCTGAACAAATTGCAGTTCTTATGATACTGAGAGGGTCTGCAGTCTTAATGATAATAGAAGCAAGAATAACTTTCCTCCCACAAATATCAGTCAGACAAAGAATGGAAAGTGTATTCAAATCTGAAGTACACAGGAGTTTAAAAATTCGCTGTCCGATTTGTCAAGTTGTTTATATACGCGACATATATCGGCCAACTGTTGCCAAAACTTATCAAAAATAGAGGCACGGCACTCTACAGTTTCTTAATCGTCTCAAGTCCGGTGGTAACTATATGTACCACCTGTTTTAACACTCAGAAACCCTACGTTCTTTATTTATGAGCTTCGTATGATTCTCACTGCAAACAGCGATCATTTCCTTAAACAGCGTTAACCAGTTGATCTTTGTAATGGTGAAGTGTGGTGTTTTCTTTGCGGTACGGACTGAGTTTTCAAATATTATTCAGACGAACTATGATTCTCAGAATAAACAGCGATCATTTCCTTAAACAGCGTTAACCAGTTGATCTTTGTAATGGTGAAGCGCTGTGTTTTCTTCGCGGTACGGACTGAATTCTTAAATATTATTTAGATGAGCTTCGGCTTCAAAGAATTAACCCAATGTAAACTGAATACATTTAAAAATGTAGTTTCTTGAATACTATACCCTGTAAAATGTCCGAGTCTCAGTATATATTTACATTATGGATAGCTGGATTCTTAAAATAATTAATTCTCTTCCCACTAAAAGCCATAAGCATGCATTACGTAATCGGCCAGGTCTCGTCATTCTACAACAAAAACAAAAAAACAAAAACTAGTTTTACTGGAATTTATTGTAAAATCCTCCTAATTACGTCACAATAGGCTAGCCGTAGCGTGTTTACGTTATTTCCGCATAAACAAGAATGGAATATTTGGGCGAACTCAAATGATAAAAATCTTTGTTAATGATGTACAATTATATTGTTGTGTAAGAACATG